ATCAATAACATGGTCGGAGTGGGGATCCCTGAAGAGGCGACCTTTGAGAGGAGGGCCAAACGACAAGCAGGAGCCGGCTGCACCGAGGTCAGGGTCGAGGGGACCAGGCAGAGAGAATAGCAGGTGCGAGAGCTGGAGGTGGGAACTGGCTCAGTCTGCTTGGTCTCTGAGAGCCCACAAAAATCTGGGAGATTTTTGCTCTCCGGGAGTCAGTTCTGTCCTCAAGGCCTGGCAGGGCTTGGGGGGTGAAGGTCAGTAGTACATGTTCATTCCCCACCAGATGGAGGTCTGAGATCCAGCTGGCAAGGGTGAATCCATTTGCCCACAGGAAGCCCAGCTGGGGCAGGCAAGCTATTTGGGGTCACCTCGGCCCTGCTCCAATCCCTAACCAACCCGCAAGGTAATGAAACACACTCTTGGCCCACTTACTGGCAAAGGCCCGTGCCGGCCAAGGATCAACTTCCCAATTCCTGCTGTTTGCCTCGGGTCACCTCCCCCGCTGACATGTGCTGCATCTGGAGCAGTCCCTCTGCAAGGGACTATTGTTGACATCTTGGCAAGGGCACCCAGGGAGGGGGGAGGGAGAGAGAGGGAGCGAGTAGAAGCAGGAGAGAGAATGAAACAGAGGGAGAACAGGGGAGAGGAGGAGAGGGAGAGGGAGAAGACGGACCTGGGACTCGGAGCCATTGAAAGCCTCCCCTTATGGCCAGAATTTACCTCCGCCACATGCTATGTGGTATTTGTACGCTGCACAAAAGGGCCTACAATATGTCACCCCCAAAGCAGGTGTGTTTGAATGTTCACGGAGGCTTTACTCATAATTGCCCTGATCTGGAAACAACGCAAATCAGCAGGAAGATGTACAGATAAGCGGTGGTGTGTGCACGGGATGGAATAGTACTCAGCAGTAACAAAGAATAGACCGCTGATATACACAACCACGTGGATGAGTCTCTTGGGCACTGTATGGGGCAAAAAGCATAAAAGCACATCCTGTATGATTCCGTTTAAGTCAAGAAGAGGCGAAAACAATCCATAGCAATGGAAATCACAGCAGCATTTTGGGGAGGGCCGTGAGGATTGACTTGAAAGGGGCAAAAGGTGACGGAAGCGTTCTGTATCTTGAAGGGGATGTGATACGGGTATTAAACCTCACAGTGTGCACACAACAATGGATGCATTTGGGGCACCTGGGCTGCTCTGTGGGTTGAGCGCTCGACTCTTGATTTGGGCTCAGGTCATGATCTCCCCGTTGGTGAGATTGAGCCCCGCCTTGGGCTCTGCGTTGACGGTGCAGAGCCTGCTTGGGATTCTCTCTCTCTCCCTCTTTCTCTGCCCCTCCCTGCTCGCTCTTTCTCTCTCTCTCAAAAAATAAACTAAAAGACTTTAAATAAAAACAACGGATGTATTTGATGGTAGGTAAGTTATAGCTCATAAAGCTGATTTTTGAAAACCTATTTTTTTTCTCTCCTGCTGTTGCTCTAAAATATGTTCAGCAGAGGATGTTCTTCCCCCGTAACTGGAGTAAAACCCCCTGCAGACCTCGTGACTTCTCCTATCACTGCCGAGAAGGAATTAAAGTCCTCCAGTTACTTTAATACACAAGCACAGTCTCAATTCTGAGATCAGAATGGGCAGTGTCAGGTGACGGTTGAAACAATGAGCTTGGTCTGAAGTGAGGCCTTTTCCGGCCCCCCACCTGGGAGCTGGGTGAGAGGGTCACAGCCTTCCCTCCCATGCTCTCCCTTAGGGTTGATCCCCTTCCTTTATCTTGGAGTTTCTAGGTCTCTGACAGGCCCTGTGAGAGAAGCCGGGGGGGCTGGAAGAAGCAGGGTGTCAGGCGGGCACCTGACTGCTTCTCTGCCCTGCTGGCCAGCCTTCTGGGCCAGGGCCTGGCACATTCTTTGACAACTTCTCTTGTGAGCATCACAGGGGGTGGAGGTGAGAGGGGTACCCACCCCCTCCACCCGCCAGAACACTCCCCTTCGGGGGGATGCTTTTCCCTGCTAGCAGAGAATCCCTGATTTCCGTGGGTCTGCTGCAGGTGAGCTCTTTGGGGTCCCTACAGCACTTGGAAGCAGACCCCCTTGGCAGGGTTTAGGTGCTGGTGGACTTCTCCACTCACGACCCACCTCCGGCCCTCCAAGAACACGGGAGCTTTACCCTCCTCACGTCTTTGGAGTAGGGGCCCAGCTCGGATTGCCAGACAAAACACAGTTGCAAAAGAAAATAAAATTCACTTTGAATTTCAGAGAAACAATGGATCATTGTTTTCAGTATAAGTCTGTCCCAAATATTACATGGGCTATACTTATGCTAAAAAAGTATTCATTGTGATCTGTCCTGGCACTGACTGGACATTTGGGAACAGCCTCCTCGCCTCCTGCCTCCCCCTCCTGCACGAGCTTCATGCTTAGGGGAGGCCCCGGGGCCAGCAGGCCTGGTTCTTACCCTGTGATCATGCTCAGCTTAATCACTCTGTGCCTCAGTTTCCTTATCTGTAAAATGGAGATCATCATGGGACCAACTTCAAACCGCCGTTCTGACAAACACAACTCAGCTGACATAATGCAGGTACAGCAGTCGGAATGGCGTCTAACACATAGAAAGTTCCCGGTACGTGAAGGTATTATTAGTACTGATTTGGTGGTGGTGGCGGCGATATCATGCCGAGGGAGTGCTATAGCCTCCAGGTAGCTCATGCTCTGGAGAAAAGAAGCCGTAATGGAACGACGGGGCTCCTGGGATCAGGCGTTGGGAGGGGACAGGGTGGTTATTAAGAGCGTGCTCTTCACAAGCAGTGGGGCGGTTAATACGAAGCAATGGCAGACACACATGGCAAGACCAGGCCAGTGAGCTCGAGGAATGGGAGACGCTCCAGGGATGCCCGAGAGCCAGAGGATGCAGGAATTGAACAAGCATAGAGTGGATTATGCAGGGTGGCCCGGAGGCACACGCTTTGGAGCCAGATCGCCTGGGTTCAAGTTCTGTCCCTATCTCAGCAACCTGGGGCAAGTTACCCAACCCAGTTGTCCCACCAGTAGCGTAGAGAACGTAGCACCTGCCTCCCAGTGGCTGCAGGATGGAATGAGTTAAGGCGTGTAAATTACTCGGAAGAGCACATGGGCAGTAGTAAGTACACTTGGTCGTTGTTAGCTCTCGTTATACTTGGAATCCCTTAAATGCTTAAAGAAAAGAGGTTAAAATTAGAATTCCTGTCTAGACTATTCGTTTGTGTGCCGCAACAGTACCCTGAGACTGAATGACTTTGGTCACAGCCTCATATACATCGCTGAGTCGATGTCCTTTTCGGTCCTCCCCTAAAAAGCAGGGGATAGTCCCACTGAGTGAGTTCATACATGCAAAATGTTGGAACTTAATAAACACTCAAAAATATTGGTGGTTTCTGGGGCGCCTGGGTGGCTTAGTCAGTTAAGCGTCCGACTTTCGCTTAGGTCATGATCTCGCGGTTTGTGGGTTTGAGCCCTGCGTCGGGCTCTGTGCTGACTGCCAGCTCAGAGCCTGGAGCCTGTTTCAGTCTGTGACTCCCTCTCTCTCTGACCCTTCCCTGCTCACTTTGTCTCTCTCTCTCTCTCTCTCCTAGAAATAAATAAAAGATTAAAAAAATTAAAAAATATATATTGGTGGTTTCTGTTGTCATATAATTCTTTTGCGTCATAATGCAAGGCAGGCTAGAGGTGTCCCATCAATGCTCAACCGTTAGAACATTCTCTTTTCTTTCCTCTTGATGCCCTTGTCAGGATGACCCAGTAAGAGGGTTATCCCGGCCTTATAACCTGAAGTGGGAAGTACTCCCCTCTCTCTCTCTTCTCTGGAAGCGTTTGTGTCAGATGTGTGTTCCTTATGTGTTAAATGTTTGGTAGAATTACCATTGAAGCCAGCAAGCCTTAGAGGAAGTTTTTCTGCAAGAAGGTTTTTAATGATTGATTCCATTTCTTGAATAGATACTGAAACATTCAGCTTTTCTCTTTCCTTTTCTGATAGTTGGAGATGTTGTGCTTTCCGAGGAGCTTTCCTGTTTCCTCTAAGTTATCAAACTTATTGATATAAAATCGTTCATACAATCCCTTTATTATCCTTTGGAAACTGTAAGATTGGATTAGTTTATGAGGCAGGGGGGCCCATGATGGGACTATAGCCTGTGGAAAAGGCAAGCTTTCTGCACGCACGCATCCAGCATGCACCAGGTGAGGACACAAGGAGATGGCCATCTGTAAGCTGGGAGGAGAGTTGTCACCAGGACCCACATTTCCTGGCACCTTGATCTTCAATTTTCTAGCTTCCAGGAGAAAGTCCGTTAGGATGTGTAAGGATTAGAATGTGCACAGCCATCTCCACTGGCGCTCACCATTCTTCACGTGCCAGTAGCCTCTTACTGAGCCTGGGAAGCTCTGCACCAGTGCGTTCCCTCACTGTACGTGGGGCAGGCTGGACGTGCTGGCGAGTTACCGCTCCAGGAGCAGCCTTCAACCAGCGACGGCCAGGACTTGGCAGGTGAAAAGCTAGCTTCCTTGCCTCCCAGGAAGGCAGCTCTAAAGCATGAGCTGCACTCTCTCCCACGATCCCCCATCAAGATCGAGCCCCAACTGCCCACAGGGTTCATCTTCTCATTAAAACACTGTCTGTATTGGCTTCCTTCTGTTTCACTTCCCGGTTGCCTTTCCAGAACTTTCTGGGATCCTCTGCCAAGTAAACTATCTTCAGTCTCATGCTCACTTCAGGGTCTACTTCTAAAACCATGGAGTATTTCATTTCATCCTCAGCAATCCTATAAAATGGACAGACATTGCTTCCCCATTGCATAGTTGAGCCATATGAGGCTCAGGTGATGTTATCCGCTCAAGGTCAAAGCTCTGGGCACTCACCCTCTGCACAGACTCCCCGCGGAACGTGCCCGGATGGGCGCTGCCCCAGGATCTCTTCTCGCCCTGCGGCCTGGGGCTCCGCTGACCCTCCTGACCTGCGTCTCCCCCCTGCAGGAAGGCCGCTGCCTGTTTGTCATCCTGCTCATGGCAGTGTACTGGTGCACGGAGGCCCTGCCCCTCTCGGTGACGGCCCTCTTGCCCATCGTCCTCTTCCCCTTCTTGGGCATCCTGCCCTCCAACAAGGTGTGCCCCCAGTACTTCCTGGACACCAACTTCCTCTTCCTCAGCGGTCTGATCATGGCCACCGCCATTGAGGAGTGGAACCTGCACCGGAGAATCGCCCTCAAGGTCCTGATGCTCGTTGGGGTCCAGCCAGCCAGGTAAGAGGAACCATATTCTTTGGAGCCCAAACCCACCCTTCCCGGTCCGGTCTGGTCACCCGGGTCAACGAGCTCATCGTGTCCCACCTTCCATTTACTCTTTCATTCCCCGGACATTCTGTAAGCCAGACACAGGGCTAGTCCCCGGGTCGGGCAGGCCTCAAGAGTGCATGAGCATCACCTGGGGAGGCCGGGTGCAATGCCTGTCCCGGGCCCCACCGCAGGGACTGGAGTCCAGTAGTGTTAGAGATGGCCATTTTAGCGGTGTGGCTCAGACTGCTCGGGGCTGAGTCCCGCCTTTCCTGCTCTGGGAAACGACTTCACTTCTCTCTCTTTGCCTTTAAAGTGAAGATATAATAGCTTAGACAGTAAATCTTGGCCACCGTCATCCTACTTTGCTATGTAATAGCCCAGATGCCAAGGCTGGTGGGGAATGGGGCACAAGATGGTCTTGGAGACGTAGGGTGGCAGGGCCTCAGCCTCCCAGGCTAGGGTTTGAACTTTCATTCTCAGAGAATTAAGTGACCTTTAAAATGGGTGGCTCTGTTGGTTAAGTGTCCAGCTTGGGCTCAGGTCATGATGTCACAGTTCGTGAGTTCGAGCCCCGTGTCGGGCTCTGTGCTGACAGCTCGGAGCCTGGAGCCTGCTTCCGATTCTGTGTCTCCCTGTCTGTCTGCCCCTCCCCCACTCTCATTCTGTCTCTCTCTCTCTCTCTCTCTCTCTCTCAAAAATAAATAAATAAATAGATAGATAAATAATAAATAAATATTAAAATGTTTTAAAATAGGGTTTCACTGTTCTTTTAATCTTTGTTTTTCTTTGCAATTTATCCCATCTTAAGGACCCCTTGCTAGAATAATATTTTGAAATGTATAAATTACACAACACATAGGATTGAAAAACACAACAACCACAGCAAAGTGCAGTTATCCAAATAGAGTTTTAAAAACACACACATTTGTGAAATAGTCCCATATGCACTCCTTTACAGTAAGTAATAAGACCTAGGAACTGACCTAATACCAACTAAGGTTTTGAGACTGTGTTGAGTGTCAGTTATATTCCAAGATGTTTGCGACTGGTATTGCATGATATGCAAATAACCTGTGATCTTTATTGGTTACCAAGTCCCAGGCACTTTCAACACTATTGAACTTTGTTGCCTTTGTCTATCCCCAAAGGAAATACTTAATTACTAATAGATATTAATAAAATCAAAATGCACTCCCCCCCATTTCTATCCTGAATTATATCCACGCTGGTTATGAATCTCTGCTTTAAGGAGTTCTACGGTGGGGAATGACATGACCAGATTTGCATTAAAAAACAAAACTAAACAGTTCCTCTAGGCTGCCGTGTGGAGAGCAGAAAAGGAGTGAGAAATGGATGCAGCCTAGTTAGGAGAGCGTTCTGGGTGTCCAGACGAAGCATGGTGACAGCTTTGACTGGGGGGATGGCAGTGGAGATGAGTTTTGAGAACGCTGGTTGATAAAATCAATGGGGGTAGTGGTTAGGGTAAAGAAGGTTCTAGATAGGTCCTAGGTTTCTAGTATCGACTCTGTGTCAAGCACTCTGTCCCACTCTAGCTGTGTTTCCTCCTGCCTGTGGGAGAGAGTCTATCTATAGAAGTGATACCAATGTGAAGTGCAATTCCAACCCAAGGGGCACACATGTGGGAGCCCACAGGAGAGGTAAGGGGTAGACTTCTTCATGGAGCAGGTTACATTTGACCTTGCAAATGGGTAGGGCTGCTATCAAGCATATGATAAAGTCAGAACAATGAAAACGGTATGACCCTAGTCCAAAAATAGATTTTTAAATGCTGGATAAGTATTCTAGAAAGTCTAAATCAGTAGAAGAAGGAAAGGATTATTCAATAAATGGTGAAGGTTGGAATAATTGGCTTATTCTTTGAAGGAAAAAAATGACTTAGATCTTACTTTATACTATCCATCTAAACAAATTCCAGGTGGATTAAGAGTTCAGGGTAAAGAAAAAAGATCATGGACCTTGGATTCCTGTTGGTGGGAGGGGCCAAGCAATGGCAGGCAGGCTGGAGATCAGGGCCTGTCTGGGTGTGCTAGTGAGTTCAGGGCGGTCTAGCAGGTGCCTTGTAGGAGCGGGAGGGGAAGAGGGAGAGGAGGCTGGGGAAGACGGTTTGGGGGGATGTGGTGGATGCTCTTGGTGCCAAACCAAGGCAATTTTATTCTGCAATGGAAGCCATCAAGGACTGGGGGACAAAGGAGAGAATATTTCAAGGCTGGGGTGTCGTTGGACCATTTTGCCTTACGTTCCCCTGGCCAGTTCACTTAAACGTGTGGAATCAGTTTCCTTAGACCCGAGATAAGGCTGGCAAATGGATCTGGCCCCCGCTTGGTCGCCTGACTTGTCCTTACTGGGACTTAGCTTTCCATCTGTAAAACAAGCAGGCAGGACTCCTCCCAACGTGGGACCAGAGGACCTCCTGGGCCCCCTTCTGGATGTGTCTCTAACTCCGTCTGTCCCCAGGCTCATCCTGGGAATGATGGTGACCACCTCCTTCCTGTCCATGTGGCTGAGCAACACCGCCTCCACTGCCATGATGCTGCCCATCGCCAGCGCCATCCTGAAAAGCCTCTTTGGCCAGGAGACTCGGAGGGACCTCAGCCAGCAGGGTGAAGAGAACTCAGGTGAGGCTGTGCAAAGGCACAGGGGCAGCCCCCACCAGCGTGCAAGAGGGGGAGCAGAGTGTCCAAAAGTTGCAGGGGACAGTGACGTGAATGCACTTACTGAGCATATACTATATGCCAAGTGTTTAAATAATAATAATAATGACTGAGAATTAGCTACGTCAAACCTTGATACCTTGTTTTTGTAATTGCATTTATTGAGTGCTTACTATGGACTGAGTGATGAGTTCAACACATTGCCTACCTTATCTCTTTTATCTCTCAAATAGCCTTATGAAGTAGGTAGTATACTTAAGCCTGGCTTTAGAACATTTGAAGAGATGCTCAGTATCACTGATACCCAGAGAAATGCAAATTGAAATAACAACAAGGTATACTTCAATGAGACTGACAAAAATAAGAAAGCTAGTCTCCACATAACACCCAGTGCTCATCCCCACAAGTGCCCTCCTCCATGCCCATCTCCCCCCTCCTCCCCCCACACCCATGAGTCCTCAGTTTGTTCTCAGCATTCAAGAGTCTCTCACGGTTTGCCTCTCTCCCTCTCCCCCACTATTTCCCCCCTACTTCTCCCCCACGGTCCTCCGTTAAGTTCCTCCTAATCCTCCTATACATGCAAACATATGGTATCTGTCCTTCTCTGCCTGACTTATTTCGCTCAGCATAACACCCTCAAGGTCCATCCGTGTTGCTACACATGGCCAGATTTCATTCTTTCTCATTGCCATGTAGTATTCCATTGTATAGATAAACCACATCTTCTTGATCCATTCGTCTGTTGATGGACACTTAGGCTCTTTCCATGTTTTGGCTATTGTTGAGAGTGCTGCTGTGAACATTGGGGTACATGTGCCCCTATGCATCAGCACTCCTGGATCCCTTGGGTAAATTCCCAGCAGTGCTAGTGCTGGGTCATAGGGGGGTTCTAGTGTTAATTTTTTGAGGAACCTCCACCCTGTTTTCCAGAGGGGCTGCACCCGTTTACATTCCCACCAACAGTGTAGGAGGGTGCTCGTTTCTCCACATCCTCACCAGCATCTAGAGTCCTCTGATGTGCTCTGGGTCAGCCTTTCTTAAAGGAATTCTGCAAATAGACAATTGGGTTAAATGTGCACAGATCCTGTAACCCAGTGGTTTTGCTCCTGGAGGCACGTGCCAAAGGAATTCTGATGCAGGTCCCTGAAGGGGACAGTGTTGACGGCGTTCACTGCTGCGTTCTCCGTGGTGGGGTGAGTTAGTAGCCATGTGAACGCAATCCCCAGTGAGGGGGAAGGTAAAGTGTGTCCTGTTGAGCACCATGCTGCTTTTAGAAGCAAAAAAATGAGTTCTAGAAATGGATCTCACAAAAACACAGTTGTGATTGAGAGAAGCCACAATGAGATCTAGAAGGCAGTACCATTATGTAAATTAAAACGTCACGCAAGGGGCCAGTTTGTAAGAACAGAAGTGAACGAGAAACCACAGATGAAACGCATCAGCGTGGTTGCTCTGGGAAGGATAGGAGTGGAAAATGGGAACCAAAGGGACTAAATAAGGAAATAAATAGGGGCGCCTGGGGGGCTCCGTTGGTTAAGCATCCGACTTCAGCTCAGGTCAAGATCTCACAGTTCATGGATTCAAGCCCCTCACTGGGCTCTGTGCTGACAGCTCAGAGCCTGAAGCCTGTTTCAGATTCTCTGTCTCCCTCTTTCTCTCTCTGCTCCCCCCACCCCCGCTTGTGCTCTGTGTGTGTGTCTCTCTCTCAAAAATAAACATTTTTAAATGTTTTAAATAAATTTTTAAAAAAAGAAAACTTATTCTGTAAGTGACCAGATAGTAAATATTTTAGGCTTTGCTGGCCACACCATCACAGCTACTCAAACCTCTGTCCTTGCAGAGAGAAAGCATCCACAGATAATATGTAAATAAGTGGGCGTGGCTGGTTTCCGATGAAATTTTATTTATGGGTGCTGAAATTACAATTTTATGTAATTTTTATATCACGAAGTATTATGCTTCTACTGACTTTCTCCAGCCATTTTAAAATGTAAAAACCATCCTCGGGGCACCTAGGTGGCTCAGTTGGTTAAGCGTCTGACTTCGGCTCAGGTCACAATCTCGCTGTTTGTGAGTTTGAGCCCCGGGTCCAGCTCTGAGCCTGGAGCCTGCTTCAGATTCTGGGTCTCCCTTTCTCTCTGTGCTCCCTACCCCCACCCCGGTGCTCTGTCTCTCTCAGTCTCTGAAAAATAAATAAACGTTAAAACAAATTTTTTTAATGTAAAACCCATTCACAGTTGGCAGGCAGCGGGCCAGAGTCAGCCCACAGGCCATAGTCTGCTCACCTCCACAGCTTCATTGGTTTTCAGACTGTTTCCTTTGGATGTTGGGGCTTCAAGAGAACCGCCTCAGGGTCACCCTGGAATGGCAACAAGCCGTGGAGACCCGGCTCCTTCTTCCACTTCCGTCCTGGCTTCCCCACTTTATCTGTTTTATACACTTGGCTTCCAAGGAACAATCACCGACATTTACTGAGCACTTACTTCATGTCAGGGCTCTCCTTGGGGGCCTTACCGCTGGATAAGGTAGAGCCAGCATTGACCCCATTTAGAAGATCGGAAATTGAGGAAAAAATGTAAGAAAATAGGATAAAGGAGCCTTTCATGGTCACACAGTTGCAAAACAGCGGCTCTGGTATTTTGAATCTAGACTGGCTGACTTCAGAGCCTGGACTCTTACCCTCTGCTATTCTGTCTTGTACACAAGATTTTTTTTTTCCAAGAGTTTAGTGGCCAGGAAAAAAAAGTTTGAGAGCCATATCCTTCATTATAAAGATGAAAAAAACCTGAGACCCAGGAAAGGGAAAGGACTGGCCTAGAGTCACACACAGTGTTGAGTACAAGGCAAAATCCAGAACCTTCTCCCATATGCTGCAGGATGTCGGGAGGTAGGAGACCCTGGGAAGCTGGGCCAGATGCCTCCTTTCACAAGCGGTAGGATCAGAGAGCAGGATTGATTAATGATCAGCCCTAAGTCCTAGAACAAGGCTAATTCCAGGGCAAAGAGAGATGTTCCCTTTCACCTAGTCTCTGTCCACTGTGCTGGTGACCGGATGTGAGGACAGTGGGGGAGGGAGTGGAGACCATTAGTGGCCCAGGGCAGGGGTGAGGAGGCTTCTGGGAGATCTGGGTCCATGAGGGACCCCAGAGCAACGATGATGATAATATGAGCTCTCACTTCTGAAGACCCACCATATGCCAGACATGGTGCTATATTCTTCATACCCGTTTGCTCATTTAATGTTTATAACATTTTACAGACGAAGACACTGAGGCTCAGGGAGGCAAAATGATTTGCTCCAAGCAATGTGGTGAGTTAGTTGCTGAGCTCTGTCTGGATCTAGAATCTATGATTGTAGGCACCAATGAAGAGCAGGACGGGCCTGGGGCGGAGCTCACTGGACAAGACCCAGTGGGTCCTCGGTCTTGGAGGGCAGCCCTGATGCTTCCTTTCAGTTTCTTTACCCAGTTCAGCTTCCTGCACTGGCTGAGGGACCAAGGGGCCACATGCGTGGTGACTTCTCCAACACCTAATACATGTGTTCTCATTAGACCCGCTGCTACAGCCCCCCAGGGCTGGCCCTATCATCATACCCATTTTACAGAGGGGAAAACTGATGCGCAAAGTAATGAAGTATTTGCCCAGTGTCCCTCAGCCAGGAGGGGGTCCCTCTGACTTTGGAATCTAAACCCCACCACTTTTTCCTTCCTTTTCTCTGCCCCAATATTTGGCTAGCTTGCCATCCTTCAAGGTAACATCGTTCAAAAAGCAACCTTTTAGGCTGGGCTAAGCATCGCCCTCCTCCTTCACTCCGCATCCACGAGACCTGGAGCGGGGAGAGGCCTTTCTGAAGCTCTTTTCTCGTCTGTGAAATGAGGACACCTCCCATTTCGTACGGATCGTTGTGAGGCTGGCATGAGATATGAGAGCCTGGCGCGTAGGATGTGGTTAATACATGGGACTTGTATAAAAACCATTGTAAGATTTCCAGGAATACGGAGAAGCAGGTGATAAGACCCTACATATTGGTGCACCTTTAAGTTTCCTTGAACCTCTAGTGGGGAGGGATTTGTCTGGACTCCGAGCTCCATGGCAGCTTGCGTCAACCTTTCCCATTGCTATGAACGACCTATGCTGGTAGAGTCTTGTTCACCTAGAACACTGTATAGTACATAGTAGGTGTTCAGTAAAGGTGTGGAATTGATGAATAAATGACTGAATGGATCTGTTACGTCACTGTCCTTTTTAAGTTTTTATTTACTTATTTTGGGAAAGAGAGAGAGAGCATGCAGAAGGGGGCAGAGAGAGAGAGAGACAGAGAAAGAGAATCCCAAGCAGGCTCTACACTCTCAGCGCAGAGCCCAGTGCGGAACTCGATCTCACCAACTGTGAGATCGTGACCTGAGCTGAAGTCAAGAGTTGGATGCTTAACCGACCGAGCCACCCAGGCGCCCCAGTTACATCGCTGTTCCAGACCTCAGTTTCTTCCTCCATAAAATGGGGTCTTAAAACCTATGACCCAGACTGTTGCAAGTGCTAAATGAATTAATGGATGCCAACCTGCTCTAGCTTGGGGGGCTTTGCTAAAGGTACCAGATTAGATACAAGAAGTATTTCCTGAGTGTCCCAAACTCCAAGAACATGCCATTCACACCATTTGCAGTGCCAGGTCAGACCTGCTGAGAGCCAGGTGGGTGCTGTTGGAGATGGAGGGATAGATTCAAGAGGCCAGGAATCAGCGGTCCCAGGAACAAGCCCGACTCTGCCACGGACCCATTGGTTCGTCTTGACCCAGGCTGTAACCTGCCTTCCTGGGCCTCAGTTTCCCTGGATGTAAAGAGGAGGGGAGCAACGGCCAGGCTCTCCCAGGCTTTTCTGAGGCTGCTCCCAGGATTACAAGCTGGAGACTTCTCTGTGTGCCTCAGGGATTGGTGTTATTTCAACAAGACCTTACATAAGCGCCA